CGCTCTCTCTCTCTTTTTTTTTTTGTTTTTCTCTCTCTCTCTCTCTCTTTTTTATTCTCTCTCTCTCTCTCTCCCTTTCTCGTCGTAGCCGTTCGGGCTGGAGCGAAGGTTGCGCGCTTTTCCTCCCTTCCATCCTGCACTTTTTTCCCGCCTCGAAGGGGCGGGCGGCGGACCGTTGTGCGGCTGAGCCCACACAGCGCCACGCAGCACGACCTTCCCGCCCCCCCTCTCCTCGCACCCGGTGGGTTCACCGCGGGAGAATCAAGAAGTCGCTCGAGCGACGCAGAGCCGTGGCGGTGGAGACTTGCGCGCGTGCCGCGTGCCGCGTGCAGGAAAAACTCGCGCGCGTCCGTTTTTATTTCTGCGCGTCGGCGGCACGCCTCGCAGAAATGCGGCCCCGCATTTTCGCAAACGAGTTAGGACAGCGCGTGTAGTAAGGCTACTTCGGCCTACCGGTGCGGCCCTGGGGGCCTTGTGCCTTGGCGTCCCCGTAGGGCTACTCTGGCCTATCCGTGCGACCGGCGGAGAGGGCCCCCCGCTCGGGCGATCCCCGAAAGTCCGCCCTGTCTCGGGGTTACCAGTAAGGATATTTTGGCGCACTGGTTCGGCTCCCTGGAGCTCGGCAAGGGCGCACTAGTGTCAGGAGGGGGAAAACACAGACACAATGAATCGTCGACTCCCAGGAACATGTGGAAAACATTGGGAACTTGGGGGGGAAGACAAAAACCCGGAAAATATAGGACAAAAGAGAAACTCCTGTTATTTGTGTGTATTTGTTTGTTTGTCCCAGGGCCCTTCATAGTGCGGCTACTTTGGCCTATTCGTGCGACCAGCGAAAGGGCGCCTGGTCAGGACATCCTCGAATATCCGCCCCGGCGGGGCTACAACTCAGCCTGTTGTGGCGTGCTGATGTGGCCCCGGCGGCCTGGCCGGGGCGTGCTTGTAGGGTTTGCTTGGCTTATTCGCGCGCCTGGCGGAGAGGGCTTCAGCCCGAGGCAGCCTCGAAAGTCCGCCCCGGCGTGGCTACTAGTTGGGCTAGTTTGGCGTATTGGTGCGGGCATTTGGAGTCCGGTCGGGGTGCGATGGTGCGACTATTTTGCCTTATTCGTACGACCGGCGGAGGGTGCCCCCGCTCGAGACTTCCTCAAAAGTCCCCCCGTTACTAGAGGGCTGATTTGGCCTACTAGTTCTTCTCTTCCTGCCGCGACGTGCTGGTAGGGCTATGTCAACCAATTCGTACTACCGCCAGAGAAGGCCTCCGCTCGAGACGTGCGCGAAAGTCCGCCACGGCGGGGCTTCTAGAACAACCACTTTCTATTTGTACGGTCCCAGGGGCCTGGCCGTACGAGTAGGGCTACTTTGGCCTACTCGTACGGCCGGCGGAGAAAACTCCCGCTCGAGACATTTTCGAAACTCCGTGCTGGCGGGGCTACGAGTACGGCTACCTTCGGCCTACTGGTACGGCCCTTTGGAATCTGGCCGGAGCTTTCTCAGCAGTTTTTTGTTGTTGTTTCTCTTGTCAGGGCCAGAATATGCTCAATGCAATGCAACGCAACGCAGCGCAATGCACTGCATGGCAGCGCAATGCGCAATGCGCCGTAACGCAATGCGCGCCCCGTCGCGTGTCAACGCCGCGGGGCCCGCCCAAAAAACACAATCCCGCCCCTCATGTCACACGGCAGTGCCTGAGCGGGGGGAAAAAAAAAAACCCAGTCGTATCTGCGCCGCGGTGTCCGAAGACAAATTCGCCTCCGCTCTACTCGCCATGTCAAGATTACAGAGGATTCTGGAGCACCTGATGGCGCTCCACTTCGTACCGTGAGAAGCGGTGGCGGAGTATTCCACGACGACGACGACAACGACGACGACGACGATGAGAAGGGCCAGAGGAGCGAACAATATTATTATTCTTTCCTCCTCATCGTCCTTCTCCTTTCCCCCTCCTCCATCCCCCCTCCCGCTTCCCCCTCACTCACTCCTCCTCCTCCCTCGTCACTCCTCCTTCCTCCCCTTCTTTCTACCTCCTTGTTCTCCTCCTTGCCTGCCTTCCCCTGCTCCCCCTCGCCCGCAATCTAGTGCAGCGCAAAGTACTACACATGCAACTGCAACGTAGTACAATGCAACGCAATACAATTCCATGTGCTCCAACGCAATGCAACGCAAACACATTAAACGCAATACAATTCATCGCAGCACACCGCAATGATCTGCAACGCAATGCAACTCAATGCCATACAATTGAATGCCTCCTCCCTCCTCCCTCCTCCCCCCTTCTGGAGCAGGAGAATTTTTTGGACCCCCCGCCACCCAAGCCTCCCTTCCCCCCTTCCCAGGGCCAGATTTGTTTGTTGAACCCCCATCGTTTTGTCCCCGAGACGGCGTCGATCGGCCAATTTTAGCACACCCATCACACGGATCGTGCCTCCAGGGCTAGAACATTTTTTTTGAACCCCCAGAGCATTTTTGAATCGTATATTTTTGAACCCTCCATCATTCTTTTTCTTGATCCCCCACCCCTGCCAGAGGCAGTGCACAGTTCATATGTTGCACGGTGACGTACAGCGTCACTCATCGAGGGCGACGGCGCACTTGAATAGGTTTTTTTGTCTGTCGGTGGATCACTTTTTTTCTTTGTGCGTGATGTGAATGAGCCTGATTTCAGGGTCTTTTTGATGAGCTTGATTTCTGATGTAGGGTCGCGGGGTTGCTGGCCGAACCACTCTCGTGCAAGGAGGACAGGACAGTGCTGCGGACGCAGAGCGCGGTTTGGGTGTCCTGGGTGAGGACGGTCGTCATCGGAGTGGAGGCAGCTAGAGCTCGACAATGCGTGCCTTCGTGCGGCATCGGTGCTTTCTATCACCTCGGCGGTTTTTGGAGAGGCAACCCTTGTGATGTTTATCTTCCCGTCGCCTTGTGAGCACCATCCCTGATTGTTTTGCGCACTGAGGTCAGGTTTGTGTGTTCACTCGGCTGCGTTCCCTCGATGCTCTTGTCGAGCGCTTGGCTAATCGGAGACCGTTCCGGTACTGTGGGAGAGTGTTACCGTGGCAGTACCGCGCGGGCGGTATTGTGGTAGTCGTGAGTGGGCGGTACTGTGGCAGTACCGTGGGGTACCGTGGCAGTACCTTGCTGGTGGTATTGTAGTGGTACCGTCGAGCACATGCAGTCTCACATGCAATGACAAATATGGGCGCGCATTGCACAACATACCAACTATTGCGTCACATAAATGATGGGAAACCACATCAAAGCCACATGGCCCAATACGGTGCCTCATTTTCCCTGGGCGCGTGCCAACACTTGTTTACACTGTATGTTTGCGAGCCATGTGCAAGCCATTCATATAGACAACACCATGTGTTTCACACTGCTCATATTCATGCCACTGTATGCTCACATATCAGCCACATGCTCCCGCATGGCATGTATATGTCAATGTATGGTCAGGCAGAAATGCACGATTCCCATGCGCTTTCATATGGTGCCGTCTACTTTTACATGTAACTAGCATTTTGGAATGCAACGCCAAATGACTTCATCTGATACCATATGGTGTTACATTGTACACTGGATCCGCACGCTCGCACATCGAACCAACTGGCTTGCGTGTAAGCTGTCGTTCTTTTGTATGCCAGCCACTGCTTACCAGTTGTGAGTACATATGCTTCCGCACGAAAGCAGTACGATGTCTCTGTTGAGTCCACACCCCTTCCAGAGGGACGGTATCAGATTTTCGTGTGGGAGGTTTTTTTGTGCTCACACGTAAGTCATGCCTTTTCGAGATGAAAGCCACATGTGTCCACTCGAATTTTGCTCGCGACGAGATGGTTCGCACGCTCACCAATTCGATGACAAGTACTCCTGTTCGGCTGAATCCCCGCATGACGTTCCAATCCTCGTGCGCCTCATTACGGTGGGGCATGTTGGTTCCGAGCTTGGAATAACCCAGTTCCCTCTTCCACGGGGTAGAGGCGAATTTGAACACGACGCCGACTAGCTGCTGGATCCCAGGCGGTCTCTGGGATTCGGCCCTTCTGCCGGGGGTTCCCCCCCCCCTGCCGGGGATTCAACCCATTTCAGGAGGGAGAAATAGACACAGACACGCATAAGCGTCGCTGCCCATGAACCCGAGGGAACATATGCGAAGGGGAGGGGAAGACGGAAATCCATAAAACATGGAGACACATCGGGAATCTTGGAACTTGTGCCTATCTATTGGTGTCTCCTTGCTCCTCCATCCCCTCTTCCTCTTGCGGCCTGTCGGCCACCAGGGGCTCTCTCTGTTTGTATCGCCGTCCTGCGCGCTACCAGGCTCTCTCTCTTCCTGTGGTGCAGTCTTGGAGCGTACGTCGCTCCCCCTCTGGGAGGTCTCCCCAGTCCCCAGCTGTACTGTGCAGCAGCTGGTTGTTCATGTTCCGCCCCCCGCGCGCGCGGTTTCCCAAGTGCGATCGGGCAGACAAGCTTATTTGGAGCAAGGCCTCGTTCGGGAATGCCCCGTTCACCCACATCTGATCGGGCTCTGCCAGAAGCGCCCCTGGCCCAAGGTGCCCCCAGGCGTGTCAAGGAGGCCCCCAACGGCCTCCAGAGCACCCCCCACGAGGCCGGGCCCCTGGGGCTCCAAAATGGAGTGAAAAGCTGGGGACAGCCTGGGCCGGGGGCACCTCTAGCAGCACCCCCGCCCTGACATGGTTCGGATTCGTCCAGGTCGGATGGAATCCGTGGCACTCCTGGCTGGTGCCCCCCTTCGCTGGCGCAAACAGGGGGAGGACGGGGTGGAAGGGAGGGGCGGGCAAAAGCAGACCGCCTCGAAGGGGGGGGGAGGTGGGGAGGGCCTGTCGAGTTTGGCTTCCAGGGCAACCGCACCTCCGAGGGGCCACGGCCCTCACGCTGCGCTCTCAGCAGGGCCGCGCCCTGGCGCGCGCTGCCGCGCCTCGCCTCGCCTCCCCTCGCGCGCACGGGCGAGAGCCGGGCGCGGGCCGGCTCGCGCGGGGCGCTCCGAGGCCGGGCCAGGAGGTCGCCTGGGAGAGCCAGCCGGCGGAGCTGCGGAAGGGCGCCACCTACATGCCGCAGCAGCCGGGGGCGGACATGACGGAGCAGGCCAGGGTCGGCGCCGCCCCCGCACATGCTCGTGCTGCGTGTGCGTCGCCCCCCCCGGGGGCGGTGCGCGCGCCGAGCAGTCTTCCAGCATGTGCGTCGTGGCGGGCGCTTTCTGCCCACACCGCTCGGGAAACGATGCACTACAAGATGGGTCTATTGTTGCTATATGTTTGGGTCGGACGCGCGCCGCCAAGGAGAACACATAGAACTAGTATGCCTCTCTGCGCCCCACAGGAGGACCCCGATCTCCGAGGGCAGGGGGGCTCTCTCCATGGGCGTTTCTTGGTCCTGGGCTTCGGCCCCGGGGGGCCGTTTTTTCGGGTCCAGCGGCCACCATGCGCGGGGCTGAGGCGAAAGCCGCCCCTGGGGAAGGGGGTCGGGGACCTCTTCGGCCGCGCACCGAAGGCACGATGTCGTCGGATGTCTGGGAACCGAGGCTTCGGGGTCCATGGGTCGAGGTTCTCGGACGCCGTTCGTCTGGCTCTCGGTGGGGGGGGGGGGGCTTCTCGTCGCAATTCTGCCCAAAACGCGCCCCTGGAGAGTTCCTAGAGTCGATCTGGGAGGAGGAGGAGGAGGAGGAGGAGGTGGAGGATGAGGAGGAGGAGGAGGAGGAGGGGGAGGAGGAGGAGGAGGAGGCTGCTGCTACTGCTGCTACTGCTGCTACTGCTGCTGCTGATGATGATGATGATGCTGATGATGCTGAGGAGCAGGAGGAGGAGGATGCGGAGGATGAGGAGCAGGACTAGGATGAGGATTGATTTGAGGATAAGGATGGGGAGGTTGAGGTTGAGGATGACAATGCTGGTGATGGCGATGGTGAAGGCGATGATGATGATGATGATGATGATGATGATGCTGATGATGATGATGATGATGATGATGATGATTTCCGATGACGCTGTTGATGATGATGATGGTGGTGATAATGATGGTAATGGCGATGATGAAGATGCTGATGATGATGATGTTGATGATGGTGGTGGTGATTGTGATGGAACTGATGCTGATGATGATGCTGATGCAGATGATGCTAATGATGATCCTGATGTTGATGTTGCTAATGATGATGATGATGATGATGATGATGATGATGATGATGATGATGATGATGATGATGATTCTGATGATGGCGGTGGTGGTGGTGATGGTGATGGTGATTGTGAGAAGCAGGAGGATGTGGATGATAATCATGATGATGCTGGTGGAGGTGGTGATGTTGTTGAGGTTGAGGTTGAGGATGCTAATGATGGTGATGCTGATGATGATGATGGTGGTGGTCGTGGTGATGATGATGATGACGATTGTGATGGCAATGGTGATGTTGATGGCGATGATGATGCTGATGATGATGCTGAGGATGATGCTGATTATGCTGATGAAGTTGATGATGCTGCTGCTGACGATGCTGATGATGCTAATATTAATGTTGGTGGTGATGGTGGTGGTAGTGATGGTGATTGTGATGGTTAGAAGCAGGAGGATGCGCATGATAACGAGGATGATGATGGTGGAGGTCGTGGTGTTGTTGGGTTTGAGGTTGAGGATGAAAATGCTGGTGGTGATGATGATGGTGATGCTGATGATGATGACGATGATGGTGGTGCTGCTAATGATGACACTGATGCTGCTGATGATGCTGATGATGATGACGCTGATGCTGCTGATGATGCTGATGATCATGATGATGTTGACGATGCTGATGCTGATGATGATGATGATGATGATGATGATGAGGATGATGGTGGTGGTGGTGATTGTGATGGTGATTGCGAGGAGCAGGCGGATGTGGATGATAAGGAGGATGAGGATGATGGTGGATTTGGTGATGTTGTTGGTGTTGATGATGATGACGATGATGGTGATGCTGCTGATGAGAATGAGGATGATGATGAGGCTGATGATGATGATGATGATGCTGATGATGATGATGAGGTTGAGATGGTGCTGCTGATGCTGATGGTGGTGATGGTGATGCGGATGATGATGCTTATGATGATGGTGATGAATACGGTGACGATGATGACGATGGTCATGGTAATGTTGGCGGGTGTTGCTGTTGATGATGGTGATGGTAATGATGACGATGAGGATGCTGATGATGATGGTGATGCTGATGATGACGATGCTGACGATGGTGCTGATGCTGATGATGATGTTATTGATAATGCTGATGCTGCTGACGTTGACGATGACGCGGCTGTGGCTGTGGCTGCTGATGATGCTGCTGCTGATGATGATGATGATGATGATGGTAGTGTAGGTGATGATGATGATGATGATGAGGATGATGCTGATGATGATGATGATGATGATGATGCTGATGAGATTGATGATGATGATGATGACGATGACGATGCTGATGAGGACGCGGATGCTGATGACGATGCTGATGATGATGCTGGTGCTGATGATGATGTTGCTGATACTGATGATGCTGCCGACGTTGATGATGACGCTGCTGTGGCTGTTGATGCTGATTATGCTGCTGCTGAGGATGATGATGGTAGTGTAGGTGATGATGATGGTGATGATGATGAATATGATGATGATGATGATGATGATGATGATGATGATGATGATGATGATGATGATGATGATGATGATGATGATGATAAGGCTGATGCTGATGCGGATGCTGATGCTGCTGAGGATGCGGATGATGATGCTGATGAGGATGCGGATGATGATGGTGATGCTGCTGATGATGATGATGCTGATGATGATTATGCGGATGATGCTGATGATGTTGATGGTGGTAGTGGTGGTGTTGGTGATGGTGATGGTGATGGTGATGCTGATGCAGCTGCTGCTGCTGATGATGATGGGGTGATGATGATGCTGATGAGGATGATGACGATGACGACGATGATGATGCTGATGATAATGCTGCTGCTGATGATGATGATGATGATGATGATGACGATGATCCTGCTGCTGCTGCTGAGGATGGGGATGATGATGATGATGATGAGGAGGAGGAGGAGGCGGAGGAGGCGGAGGAGCAAGGAAACGGAGGGGGTTTGAGGAGGGGATGGGTGGAGGATCGCCCTCCCTTCGATCCCCTCCACACCCTCGTCGCCACCGATCCACCCCTCCATCCTTCATCCTTCCCTTCATCCTCCATCCTTCACATCCCGTCATCCCTCCCGTCGATCCCCTCCGTCCCACCCCTCGTCGCCACCGCGGCCGCGGCCGCCATCGCCTTCTCCTCCTCCTGCTTCTCCTTTTCTTCCTCCTCCTCTCCCCCCCTCCACTTCCTCCTCCTCCTCTTTCTTTCCCAAAAACATGTGGCGTTGGGTCCTCGTGCTGAAGAGGGCGCCCCGCGTTCCTCACTCCCTCGTCCTCCTCCCCCCCTCCTCCCTCCGTCACTCGGACGGTAGGTCTCTATATGGTCCCCCTCTATTGGTCTCCCTCCCTTGTCTTCTTTCAGCAGCAAAATGAGAATGTTATGTCGAAGCCCCTTCGAAATGACATGTCCCGCCGCTGCCTTTTTTTGCTCTGGGGCACGAAAGCTGGGCAGGCTGGCGTGCCCGTGCTATCGCCCTTTTATACTTCAACCGTTCTATTCAGGTCATCGTAGCACAGAGTTTTTTATCCTAGACCTTTGCTTGTAGCTGGTCGCGGAGCAGGCTTCCGCTTCCTGCCACGGCCGTGATGGTTCCCTCCCGTTGCCCTGCTTCGACGGCGAGGGCTCCACCATTTCGCCGAGCTATACAAACCGTGTTGTTCACCCAGCTGCGATCTCGCGCTGGGCCGTGCTCTCCGTGTTCGCGTACCTCTAACCGTTCATCGTAGCAGGCGACGGTTCTGTAGGGACCGTCGTGGCTTCGCCCGCCCGGCCGCCATGTGCTATCACGGGGGATACGCAGTTCTAGTACTACCAGGACACCTACAAGAATGACCGCGCCCCCGGCCCGCCTTTTTTCTTCTTCGCGTAATTTCGACGTGTGTTCGATATGCCCAGGGCTTCTACGTCTTCACAGCACTCGCCAGTGGGCCCCGAGCTATTCGCAACTGTGCCGCGGAAGCCCGAGGAGGAAGAGGCGAGGGACGCATCGCCCCCTTTGCATCCGCATGCGAGTGTAGCCGATCATGTCACGCACTTCGTTCGACCCGACTTTCGCATCGCCAGCGTCGGCAAGGCGCCCCAAGTTGCCTGCAAATATTTGGTGGAAGCCGGGGCGGGCGCGTGCATGCAATAGCGAGGATGCAAAGGGTGTCGGGCAACTATGTTGCTATCCTTCCGGGGCGCCGTGACACAAGCTTGGGCCTATCGTTGCCGGTTCTCCGGGACATGGCCTTCAACGGTGCCCGCGCACTCCCTGCTTCTTGGCAGACTCGGATCCAGATGCGTACTCCCTCTGATTATCGCACAGTTGGTATCGCTCAGTACAGTGACAATTCGACTCACGACGAGTTCGCCATGTTGTGGCGGGGTGATCTGAGTGCAGCCAACGCTTCAACCGCGCGACAGAAACAATGCCCAATGCGCTGATGAGGAGGGGCACGCCAGGGGCAGATATCCACGACGACTCCGAGGATCACTGCCGGAACATCGCCGTTGGTGGGCGCCGGGGCTGTCGCGCCTCCACGACACCTGGATGGGGGGCTCCAGTTTGGATGGGGGGCCATCTGAGTGGGCGTGGTCGCTGCAATCAGCTGCGTCGCCAGCGTGGGCGCGGGCGGTGGCCGCAGCGGCAGCGGCAGCGTGCGGCGCCCCCGAGTTTGGGTGCCCGAGCAGCAGGCTCGCGTGCCCTTCCAGCACTGGGCGCTGGAGGTGATGACTTCTTGGACAGTGGCGAACTCGGATCTCGGCGGTTTTTGCCTTGCGGCCTGCGTTGTGTCTCGCTCGGCCGGCGTGGCGCGCCAGTGCGCGGGAGAGTGGCCGCCGGCTGTCCTCTTCCACGGTGGTCATGCCAGCCGCAACCCAGTGCCGACCATGACTTCCATCGCGCAAAGCTCGGCCGAACGGCGGGGCCAGCTTGGAGAGGAGGGGTGCGCGCGGGCGGCATTGGCTCTGATGGATGTCAACCGATTGCCGCAAGGGGCGCGTCGACATTTGCCTCGCCAGCTTTGACATCTTCCGCGGCAGGGCGTGGCGGGCCACTCCGTTCACAATCGGCTGCGAGGGCCTCGGCCCTCTTGC